AAATGTCCTTATTTATAAGCCTTTTACTTTAAAAAAGATAATCTGGCTAAACTTTTCGCGAATGAACTAGAACAGTTAGTGTGGAGGACTTGCCAATCAGTGGATTGAAGGGTAGCCTTCATAAATAGATGTATTTTGCCACCACATATTAAAGATTGCGTTCATTATATGTTCACATCGATGTGTCTACAAATTAAACTGTTCCTGTAGACTTTATCTGAAGTCTGTGTCACAACGCGCTAAGAAACATCTCAGTGGGGATCAAATTTTATGACCATCTCCGCTTAGTTACATCTGATTGGCACTAGTCATGCTGTCAACATTAAATCAGCTTGCTGAGTAGTTCATAAGATATTCAATGAACTACCACAGATGGTGGTACACAGTCCCCTCCGAAAGACAGCTGATGCTATCGGTATTAATGCAATAAAACCACGGTTGTATTCAGAAAAAGTCTACACATCCTGTTGTTTTCCGTTGACCTCAGTAACTTTTGATCTTACAGAACTCGCTTATAAACAGTCATAGTCGAATGGTTATATTTGTATGAACCTGCTTATGCGATTTTCGCAAATCTGCATCTTACCTTCTTTCTTTCTTTTAATCTCACTTAATATTCATAAATTATTATAACCTTTTTAATCTTCTCAGATTGGCTTCCTCTCTTGACCTAAATCAATGATCCATCTATGGCTAATTGCCAAATCACTTGTAAAACAAAATAAAGAAGTACTCAAATTTTCATTTAATTGTCATTCTACAGTGGCATGCAACACCACTTAGTGTGTGTGTAATTTGATTATAAAAATATTGGAGTTAAAGTTTGAGCTTGATGAAACTTTAACAGAAGTGCATATTTGCTGAAATTGTCTTCTCAACCACCTGATTATCACTTATCCTTATAATGTAGTCGGAATACTGTCAGTTATAGGTAAACGAACCTCCTAGGAATAAAAATATTAATGTTAGCACCAGGCTGTAGATTTTCTGGAAAATATTCATATTTCCCAACAGAACTGTAACAAATAAGAAGCATACACTGTTGTATGAGGATCTGCGATGTTGTATCTCTATCTAACTGGACGATCTGTATTGTTCAACAACATGCTTGTGTTATCTACAGTTTAGCAAAAAGTGCGAATATTTTGCTAGTTGTATGGATCCAATCGGCAGGAAGCTGTTTCGGCTCTCGTCAGCAAGGCGTATCTGCAACCTTGAGGGGACTTATGTCCTGCCTACAATTCGAACTCGCATCACCCTGTTGTAATCAGAGACGTTATCACTGAGCTATTCGGGCCGTGACTGACCTCCTATAGGACTAGGTTAGGTACATTGATTGGCCACTGGAGGGTAACCACCTTCATATTGTCTAGTCCTGAGTGCGAATATTATCTTATGTCTGAATTGAACTGTAAAATGACTCCCAAAATCAGCGTAGAACCTTGCACACAGGCGCATCGGATGAAGTTCCCAGACTTCACAGTGGTACACAAAGAACAGGTGGAGAGAAAAAGACTGATATAAGAGTAAATAAAATTGTATGAGAGAATAAACAATTTGAATATAACGGTTTATGCAAATATTCAAGCTTCAGATGATGTTAAGGAGTCATTGTGACCGATTTCCGGCCATATCCTCAACCACTGATCCCTTTCATCTCGGGAACCCCAACCAAGGTAGTCTACATCTCCCCGCACAACTCAAACCAACAATCGGGGACTCTATCAACCGGTGCTACGTCTTAGTCTGGCCACTCGAACGCTCTTTCAATCTCATCTAACGTCGCGTAACGCTGCACGTTGAGATAGCTAGTGACTCGGCATGCGCAACATATATCCAAGCCATCTCAGTCAACTAAGGTTCACAACCTCATCAACCAACTTACCTGTCTCGTCCAGAATTCTTCGCCTCGCTTTAAGAATGCTCATACGGTGATTCTACCGAACGCGAGCAATGCTACGAAAGCATTTGTGATCAAATACTAGTGGAATGAAACAAGAACCAATACGTTTTGTATTTCTTTTGAAATGAATTTTAAAAATTTATCATTAATTCCTACGGTAGGTATCATTTTTGTTTGTTCAGTTGTCTGTCATTCACAAATCAATTCACCATAGAATCCATTCACTGAACTTCAGTCATTTCAGGATTCATTCTCAACCTTTATTTTTTCCCCAGACATTTAATACTTCCTGTGTTTGTTTTTATGGTTGAAATGAAGTGCATTTTTTGTGTGTAAACTATTAAAAATGATGTTATTTAATAAAACAAACAAGCAAACGAACGAACAGAATAACATATGCCTTATCACTGTGTAATGAACATATGGGAGTAGGACTAAATTGTTTAATTTGATAAACAGGTGTAGCATACGATTATACGTTATAATCAGCCACAATTCAGAAATTAGCAAATTTTCTGAAAATTTTCACAACCGAGTGTTTTTTGAATAAAAAAAATAAGAATTTTACTGGATAACCGTGACACTAAAAAGGACTTACTTCAAAAACCACTTGCATCAAACTTCATGTAGAAAGTATTCTTGGAGCGTACTACTATTACATATATATATATATATATATATATATATATATATATATATATAAGTAGTACCTCATACAGGTTGTCTACAGCAAGTTTCATCGTTTATAGTAGGATTCATTAGACTCGGAACAGTAGTTTTATTTATTGTGGATCATATTTGCCGCTTGGGTGTCTCACAATAGAAGATAGCTTCATGAAAGGGATTGCTCAAATTGTTTTAACCTGCTTAGTAAACTTTAATGGCCCCTTTATACCCAAGGCGATCCAACATATGAAGCGTTTCTGTTAGGATTATTTAGTCATTCGTGACTGAGAAACAGAAGAAAAAGTTCTAATCACTCACAACGAAGTAATCCATAATGATCAGAAGATTGTCCGTAAGGTATATTTTTATCAGGAGTTTTTACTTCATCAATATGTAATTGTTCCCTACTGTGTCCTTGCTTGGTGTATTGGAGCTGGTTACTTTCAACTTTAATAAAAATAATTGTTGGATTCGTTACCATTGATGATTGTCTTTATAAACATGTAATCATAATGAAATGCTTTTGTTGAGGTTAATAATTTTTAAAAAAAGAATTTTCCGTTTGAAATAAATGACTGTAACAGTACGAAATATTCGAATCACAAAGGGTAATTTGAAGATTTTTATTGGTTAAACTTTTGAAGAAGGTATGATTTTTTAAAAATCTCATGGTATTACTCATCATGGACTGACATCACTTAGAGAGAACCATTGAAAACCTAGGGGCATTGGACAACCGTGGCGTCCTGGCTAGAGACTTTGCTTAGACTAAAATCAGTTAATAGAAACAATTTCACAATAGTGACTTTATTGATACATGTATATTTTTACTACGAAAATAGGCAATTTATCACTGGTGAATCATTTTGAAGGTTGGTGGCGGCGGATGGGGGGGGGAGTCCCATATTAGGAAGAAATGGTTGTCCACTGCATTTAGGTTTCCAATATTCCTCCAACTGATGTCAGTTCATGATAAATTCCAACCTGGAGTCAATAAATCCCCACAAACCTCCAGATAAGATTAATTTAGCGCTCATTGGTGATTAGCATAGCTACAAGAGGTGATTCCCGAAGTTCCAGTTAGGAGTCGTGACTCATGAAGTCAACCAAGTTGAGCATGAGAACAGTTACTCAAAGACAGCATTAAATCGAGGTCGCGCTATATTGTGAACCGACAGAAGTAGGAAATATAGACTATTGGATTCCGACTCAGTGGCTGAGTAGTAACGTGCCGGTCACGGAACTTGAAGGTCCTGGGTTTGATCCCTGGTGGTTTGGGGTTAAACAGTTTAGAGGCTATGCGTTTCCGAATATCCGGGTGCCTCGATATTGCCTCAAGATTCATTATGTTGTTGCTTGCCTAGAGTTGGGTAGCAGTGGTAGCAGAATGCGTGTTTGAAGCAATGCATATTAGGTTCAAGTTCCAGTGGGAGCACAAGAACTCATACCCATTTGATGAGTCCTGATAGGGACAAAACGTGCATCACGAATGAAATTGTAACTCCTATTCGTCTAAATATTCTATTTTGAAGGCTGAAGAGGTTATATACAACTGTATTTGTAGCGTGATCTCTTCGATTATCACCTAAGTAAGCTCATTGTCATCACTGAGTTCATTTCTAACTGGCTCTGGAGTCATTAGGGTCATGATGTTGGTAAAAAAGCTAGTTACTTCCGAAGTAATCGCTTCTCCACTACCATCTAGTTTTATTTCCTTTGATCTTCACTGTAAGTTATAAGAACTTGTAAGTTACTCTAATATGACTATGATATGGACCATAAATCATGTCCGAAATGTTGTGTAGTAAGTAATCGTGTTTCACTTTGATGCATGTATCACAGTGCCCACGTTATACTTTTACGTTAGAAAAGACTTCGGTTGGAAAGATTGGTCCAAATGCATGGTGATAATGATTAGAGTATAGAGTCATGGCAGCTTTCAAACAAAACTTTCTTAGATCGGTGATTTTGTCGTCTACCAACGTAGATGTGAGACTTTCTTTTACTGTTCAAGTCTTAATTTCACTTTGGTCACTAAGAGCATTGTTTAACTTTTAAGCGAATAAATGATGCATAACTATGTGTTGATTATCTTTGTAGCTATGCAGTCAGTTTTCCCTGTTTTAACCCGGAATCGAACAGGAAATTACCTCACCAAACGGATTATGTTTGGGGTAATGATTTTATTATTTCCTCTTGGTTATTCTCTCACTTCCTTTATTCACTTATTAACATTGTACATCGTAAACCTAAGCAACTATTGTGTTTAGGATTATTCATTGACAAATATTAATGTTTTTTGTTGACAGTTTAGCATAGAAATTTGCACTTTATAACTGAGTATTTGGCTTACCATTTGAGTTAATGTTATTCCCTCTCTCTCCCTCTCATACACTTTATTGATTTTTTTTCTCTCGTTTTTGTTTGTTAGCACTGGAAAAGGCGATATTGCATTTTGTACAAAGTACGCAGACAGAATACAACAGAAATATTTTTTGATTATTACAAAGATGAATCTTTTTCTAAATTTAAGGGTAAGCGTAAACTTTATGATACATTGAACTATATGAAGTCTCAATTATTCTACATTATACAATTCTTTATTATTTTAAATTATTAAAATGACTTTTTGTATAACAAATACATTTTATTGTCATAGTGGAGAATATTTGTAGCTCAGGTGGATGGTTTTGGTTGTATTGCATTCTCTGAGCTAGGTTGTAAAGCTTTCATCGTCTTTCTGGACGACATCATCAGCTCTAAGTTCAGTATGACTTCATACTGAAGTTAGTGCTGATGAATTTCCAATTGCTTGATTTACGTTGACTTCTCATTCTAGGACTACTGAAAGAGTTTTTGTTAATTTTTGTTTGATCTTTGAAGGCCGCTCTAACAACTAATGAGGTAGCCAACTACATTCTTTTATTTTATAGGAAAGTACTTTACCAGGCGAAATATCGAAGCCTGATTGGCCATTTATGCAGTTACCAGGGTGGCCTTTGAAGTCACTCGTTGTTTTTGGGAGTGACTTTAAAGGCCACCCTGATAACTTCCAAAATAGCCAATCAAGTCACAATATTTTGTCTGGAAAGTTTTTCATAGAATCGAGAAAAATGATTGGTTGTTTCACCAGTTGCTAAGGTGGCCTTTAAAATCACTCGTTGGTTTTGGTGTTGGAAATTTCATTGTACGTTTTACATGAGTCAGCAGCATCGGTATTTCTCTTATCAAGCGTTCATTGTTTGATGTTATTGTTTAACCTTAAAAATATTGAGTGTTTGTCAGTACGGACGTTGTAGTATTTAGAACGTGTTCATAAGTGGTGTCGAAGTTTATGTTTTTTTTATCTATTCACTTAAATACTATTCCTATAGGAATGTTTCTAACACACTTCGAAACAGCCTGTTTTAGCATTGAAATTTTGCTTTTCGTGAATAGAGTGATTTCACATCACTGGGTTTTCCTGCTGACTTTACTGTTCTTGCTAAACAAATAAAATTTAGTTCAATAGAGATTATGTAAATTTTCCTTTTTTTTTGATAACGTATACTGGCATGCTGTTTAATTTTAAAATATACTGTATTTTTGAGATGAATAGGGATTTTTAATTTAGAAGTAGTATTCATCATGGACTGACATCAGTTGGGGAACCATTGAAAATCTGGGAGCACTGGACAGCTGTTTCGTCGTAGTATGGGACTCCTCAGCAGTACGCACCCACGACCCGGCTAGGGGCCGAACTCAAGACATTCGGGTTTCACGGTGAACGCGTCAACCATTCAGCCACTGGGTCGGTTTCCAGTGATGAATAATACTTCTAAATTAAAAATCCCCATTCATCTCAAAAATACATTACTCTATAGTGCTCATTAGTGACTTGCTTCCAGATGGATGTTAGGGAGTCGTGACCTATGGGGTCGACCAGTCGGAAGTGAAGTGGATGCTAACTGAAGACCTTGGGTGACAGTCGCGCTATGTCGTGAATTGACAGAAGTTGGAAATTGTGAACCACTGGAAACCGACCGAGTGGCTGAATGGTTTAAAATATACTTTTTTTGTCTGATACGATTTAATGGTAACATGTACATTAAAGCGATAGAATTGTCTAAACTTTGTTTTTGTTCAGCTTGGATTTTTTTTTCCATCTGTTTGTTCGACATTTGTTACGGTGTAACTATGTGCAATATTGCATTGGGTTAAATTCCCGTCTTTTAAAACTATACAATTTGAGATAATTAAAAAATAGAAATGAAATACCATTTCACACTAGCGTAGAGAAATGAGAAAGGCGTATATATGTAAGGAAATGAAAAAATAAGTGGTTCAGCCAAGAAAATCTTTTCAGCGTATTCATTCAATTAGCTGTATAGTCGCATTTGTATACAGTTTTTTGATGAAAATGCGCAATTTGTTTCTTGTGTGAAAGCGGTTTGTTAGGCATGATGGTAACATGACACAAATTAAATGGAACTATGATTTACATCCTAAAGTAGTCAAAATGTTGATGAATATTGAAAAGTAATCATAAAGTATCGTAGGAATGAAGTAGGAACTCAGTAAAGATGATGAACCGAATTTGAAGGCTTGTGGGGGATTTTTTTGATTTCAGATTGGTATTTTAACATGAACTGACATCAGTTGGAGAAAAGTTTTAAACTTGGGAACACTGGACAGCTGTTTCATCCTAGTATGGGACTACTCAGCGATGCAAACCTATGGCCTCTCCAGAGATCGAACCCAGGATGATGAAGTTTAAATAAAGATTTGAATGACATGACAAAATACTAATGAATGAATTGTAATCAGGGTGGGTACAGAAACTATGTGTAGTAAGTAATAGAAATGGAAAGCAGAGTTAGGAGGAGTGGGTCGGAACGTATAAAGGAAGCAAACGTTGAAAGTTAAAACCATCAAAGAAGCAAGGGGTGATCAAGTCTCTTTTGTTTGCAGAGCTCCAGCTTTTCTGTGCGAATTGTTAGAGTTTCAGTAATACAAAGTGAGGGAGGATGCGCACTGACTTTGGCAAGTTGTGGTTGAGGTTGTTTTTGAAGTTGAGTGACCAGTGTCTATTAGGTGTTTCCTTATCGCACTTCTTACAGATCCACTGCTACCTCCTTGAAACCACGTACGATGGTATTCTTGAACCCCTTTGGACAGAATCGGTGTCGAACGACCAATATATCCAGCTCCACAGAAGAAGGTGAATTGATGCACACTCGTAGAGGTAACAAAATACAGGGTCTTGTCTTTCAGGCTTTTGCTAAGTAAAGAGTGGTTAGAGAATACTAACCTGAGAGATACTGCAAAGAAAGTTCTATTCAGGAGACTTGAAATCCTTCTCTTTAGGATGTCAGCTAGATCATCTTTGAATTCAAAGTTCACATGTAGTATCTTTTTCGATACGGAAACTGAATCATGTTTTTATGGTTTCTGTTTGATGTTTTTCTAGCTATGGACCGTAGATGATATCCGTTTTCGATCACACTTTTTATTAGAGTGCTTATCTCTTCATCTATAGCGTCTTAGCTGCAAACGCGTCGAATGCCAGTCGCAAGGAACCTAATTAAATTTCTCTTTCGACCACTGGCCTTCCAGCAGTAGAAATTTGTCAGTTGTCCATTCCATGTAGTCTGTTTGTGAATCGACCTTCTCAAAGTTCGATCAGCCTCTTCACCTAACCACTTCTTTTTTTTATATGTCTTTATGGGATTTCTCGAGAATGTCTACATTGTCATCATTATCTACATCCTCCATACTAAAATGAGTCTCGTAGTTGCAACATTGGAAATTTCTTGGATTATATCAATTACTGCACTTAGCATAAAGAGCAAAATCCGGATTTTCAACACGAATTCAGTCAAATCAGTGCTTATATGTGATGGTTGAAAGACTTGACGCGTTACGAAAAGTATTTCCAACAAACTGCAGACATACATCACATCAACAACTGCCGCCTACGCCAGCTCACTCGACACTGACACCGCAGATCAGATGGCGAGAAAGAATAAGCAAGAAGGAACTGTGGCTGGCTGGCGGACAACTAACCAACCGAGAACCTGTCGCCCAACGAATGTGCAGAAGAAAGTGGAGGTGAATTGGACTGGGTATAGACTGAGATCGATTGCGGACATCGCGTCAGGCCAGGCCATGCCGTCGAGTGGAACCTAAATGGAAAACGACGAGTTGGGCGTCCGAGGCGAGGGTGATATAGAGGAGATGGTGTGGGGAAGAAATGAAAGCTTGTGGGCAGTGGTGGAGTCAGGTTGACAAGACTGCAGAGAAGAGAGTGAAATGGCAACGTGCTATTGAAGCCTATGTTCCACTAGAAACCCAAAGGAAAAATAATAATAATCAATCAAATTTATTTTAGTTTTCCTTGCACAAATTATATGGTTTTAAATGTTCTGTTAGTAGGTAAGTAATACATATCACGTTTCCATCCAGAAACTGATAAGCCAATTGAAGAACTGTTGGTGTTATGTGCTGCCTTTCTCTTCAAGATGTTAGTACTAGATGGGTTTTTGAATTAAACTTGTGTTTGTTTAGTAGTAGGTTGTCGTTATGAGAGTGATTGAGATAAAAAGAACAAAATTTGATTACTAAAGACTCAAGGTACAGTGATGAGTAGTTTAGTGTATTATTTTAAGGTCGTTTTGGAAATATTCCTCGAAACTTGGTTGCTTTCGCAGTGTATTTTTGTCTTCAGGTTGACCATATCACTTCTAGATCTATGTATAATTACTGTGAAAAACAATCTTAGGATTGTAGTTTCAGTTCGGGAAAGAGGTCTTATAGTACATGTGGTTTAGTTCGCACCAGAGCGTTATCCACGATAGCCACTTCCTGTGCGATGGGTATAGTTTTAATGTTGTTACTTGTATTATCTCGTCCTTGAGTAGCAATCGTAACTCGGTGGTCTAGTGAATAACGCTCTAGTGTTTGAAGCAATCGGTCCCAAGTTTGAGTCCTAGTGGGAACAACATTGCTCGGTTCGAACCACGTTTTCATTACACTATCAATCGTCATCTTTTATCATTAACGACAAAACACCGCAATCTCAGATAGTCTAATTAGTAGTAGGAATATATTTTATTTCAAAGCACTTTTTATTACAAACCAACATCAACTAAAGAACTATTAAAAATTAAGGAGTATTGGACGACTGTTATATCCCACTGTTCACCCGTGATCTCTGCAGATTCCATACTGCTATGACAATAATCGATTTCTCATATACCATCCAATCGAAAAATATTTTATCCATTATTCCTCGCTGTATCTTGTTTAATTTACTTTACTTGGCAAACGGCCGATCCCCATTAGATTTTACAACAAAACTAACAGAGGTACAAAGGAGTTCTATTTCCAAAGCGAAATAAATAACAGAGGTCCAGTCAATATAGTATCATGAATATCCAGTAGTATCGTGGCATCCGCGCAGGAACTCAACTACCAACAGAGGTTGAGCAATTTGGCCCTGTATAGTAACCCGAAATTACAGGTATCATTGCAATAACTGATACATGTTGCACAA